CGCGACGGCAAAGGCATTGCATTAGAAGTTCCAGCGGCTCCGAGGATAACTACCAAGTGAGTTGAGTTTACGTTTAATATAAATATTAAATATTAACTAACTGACCTCAACAGCTGGATAAGCATCAAGCTTTCGAAAACACTATGGATGATCCTTCCGCTACATCACAAAGTGATCTCARCACATTCTGCAACAAACACGCCGCACCAATGGGCTTAAATTACTCCGATCGCATTACCGAGTTGCATCGACAGTATTTGGCTTCGATTGCGCCATTCAACATACTCTTTCGAAATGAAACGCCAGCACAACCGAACATCGCCACTAGCACCGCCGGCCCCACAACGCATCTCAGCGCACAGCGCGAACTGACCTTACCACATGTGGGCACAATGGTRCCTCTATTGGGCACAAATCAASACGTTAGCCAGACTTCATTTCGTGAAGTGGACAGCTTCGATCTGTCCGGTGGTGCSTACTCYAAHAGCAACAGTTCGGTGGATAGCACGCGACAAGCAAACTCCTTTTCACCCAGCGCCTTCACACCCATCACACCAGCTCGTAGCACGCAGCCGCTACCACCGCTGACGCAGCCGCAGCTGCAGTCGCAACCAAAAGCACTCACATCGGCTTTCACCATCGAGAATATTATTAAGAAAGACTGAAGGGCGGACAAGTCGACGGCACCAAATACGCGGTATACTCACAAACTTAGCTTAATGTGTACTTAGAATTTACTTGGAATAGTCAAGAACATAACTACCACGAGATTATGTGATATCATATCAATAAAATAGAATAAAGTAATATAACTATATACATATATATTTGGAGAATCCATAGTGGACTCTCATAAATAGCGAGGTTGGTACGATGAACACTGAGCCTACAAAAGAAAACGAAAACTTTCAAACAATTTACGCAGCATAGTCTCCTTTTAGCTTGATTCACTTGAGCCAGCGACGCTCCAACTTCTTTAAAGGGCACACCTAGTGTAACAGCCYAAGAATGGGGACTATTGGGAGTTAAAAAAAAAAACAAGTGTATTAAATGTTTTAAAGTGTTAGAGGTATATTTTAAGACAATGCGGTAAAAAATAAATAGTATTTCGAAATATGCCAAAAATAAAAACTTTATTTTTTCAAAATTGCCCAATAAGTGTGCTTTTTAATACGCCTAAAATATAGTGATGGTTAATTTGCAGATGGTCTGCGAGTTAGGCTCCTTGACAGCGATAATTTCCAACTTAAGCTCAAAATTAGGCCCGACAAAGTGTGATCTGAAGCGTTCTTTTGGTTGATGATGGAGGAAGAGCACTTTTGACTCGCCAAATGGGACCATTTTTTCTTATAATTTTAATTAGTGTTCCTTGACCGGTTTGTTCTTCTCTAAGTAGTTGATTCACAACTTGTGAATTCCAAAAAATGAACGCTTTCACCCTGACGCTCTAGCCTTTGCATCCAAGTGCCCTTAGCTTTCACTGCGGAATCTATATTTCAAAAGCAAGTCATTTTCTAAAATTCACGAAATTTCCACTTCCACATGCGAAATCAAAGTAATACTATGACTCCGATTCGCTGGTGTGCTTGAGTATTGAAGCCTCTGCTCAAAGCACTTACACCAATGGCCATTGTTGGAATGAGTCTATCCTTGTTGGACTAAAATTTCGGATATCGTTTATACAAACTTTTTTGGTTGGATAGATATTGTCATTGACGTCACCTAACAGGAACAAGCTGYTTCAATGTTGCCGGAACAAAGGAAAAGTAATATTAGACGTTGAAAAGGGAACTTGCCAAGAACAAGTAGGMGGTAAACCTACTACAGTATTCAGAGCTCAGTTTTACCAGAGTCACTCTAAATTCACGAGACAGCTCAAGCTCTTCACCTACAATGGATGTTGTCTTATACAAAGCCATTCTCTGATGGAAAGTTTAAGGAATTGCTAATTGCTTCTCTATAAATGGCATTTTTACTGAAGTAATTTCAATGGATGGTGCCAAATTTTTCATCATTGTCCTCAGCTTGAGAATTGTATACTTCGTGTCTTATCTCGAAAACATGTCCTAAGGAACGTATAGCGATAATCCGGCGGCACTCGGAGCGATCTCATCTTACGAGGTTAACTGCTACTACAAGGAGTATGTATAAAGGTATCCTGTAGGTCTACTACCGGATTCCCCTTATATTATTGCCGGGATCAAAGCTACTGAACTATATAACGTATTTGCTCACACCGTAGTAACTAGAATGGTAGCACCGGAACCTTTTTCTGCGATGGGTTCCCACACTATAACGGAGCTGTTTCGAAAAMAGGAGAGAGTAGAGTTGCAAAGTTGTTACTGGGAGGTTATAACCTCGTAGATCTGCGTACTTCCTRGGCTCTTGTATACATATATACAAGTTAGGAGTAGTTTGTCTCCATGGCAACTAGCAAAATCCTGGAATTTATAAGAGTGCTGGAGATATGTGGATCCTTGCGGAGGATGAACCTCAATCTGCAGTTCAAATGTTACTTAAACCTTGGAATAAATTGGCGATTTATTTGGTCAACATACGCCGTGTATTGAAGGAAGAAAAAGAGGAAAATATTGCAAATAATTTCAATGGTAATAATAAATTTAATGACGGTGGTGGAGAAAGACCGACATTTGGTGGTGACCACGAACCGATACCTAGTGAACAGTCTGACTTCGAAGATGATAATGCTCAGCCCAATAGAGATCCACGTTTCAAAGAATATAACCACGAGTATGCTACTGTAGATGTACTAGATAATGACACAATTTTGTCGCTACAACAACAATAACTCTGACGGAAACAGGTTTGATTTGTGAAATTCGGCTATTGAAGGTAATCGAGGAGACAAACATTGCGGAAGGGGATGAAACGACCAAACTAAATGATGGTCAATGCCAAGTCAAACTGTAAAAAGGCGAACAAAACTAGACAAYCAAGGCCAATATGCACGGAAAGTTTAAATCCAAAAGCGATGCCTTTATATGCTTTGAAGGAATTGCTCTTGAGCAAATAGGAACGATAAAAGGCAAATATGTATCAAACAGTTCGAAAAAAAACTATGATATTGGCAGAACATTGCCCTATCGCATAAAAATCATAGCAGACTTCTAACGGATCTATCAATCCGGCTTCCCAGCAGTTTGGTCCTACGACGCCATCTTGTTTTGTTCGTTATAAAAGTTCAGACTTCCACATAAAAATTATTATTATCTGATTATTTTCAAATATAATATAACCAGATCCCTTTCCAAAAGAATTTCTTTAAACGATTACAACACTTCGCTAAAATTATTGCAATAAAAAGAAAGGTTTCACTTTCATTCAGTACTTTATTTYTTTATAACAATTAAAATACTCCCTACTTGTATATCATGAGAACGGGACTTTTCGAACCATATTTTGTGTGTAGTGAATTACAAAGTTACAAATTATTTATGTTTTATTCAACATTTATAAATACAAACTCAATTCACAAAAYTGATTTTCTTTTATATTTATTCAGGTTTCTTTACATTTTTAGCTGGGGCAGCCTTTTGTGATGCAAGCACGGCAGACGCACGGCGGAGAGCAGCCTGAAAACAAAAATAGAACAGTTTAGAAGATGGCCCCATATATATCATATAACACAATTTTAATGTTTTCAATCAGATTGGTTTTTCAACATAWTCATTCTGCGATCTTGGTGTGTAGCAAAAAAAAAATAAGTTATCATCATAATAAAATATTTTACGTTGCATATATTGCATTAAACCTACCTGTGTCAAGTCCTTGCGRTATTTAGCACCGGTCAAAAGGTTCCTCAGTTTCTTCAATGATCGTCGGGGACCCGACTTGAATGAAACACGTACTGTGTTCTTAGCGGGGCGTTGAGCATATTTGCCCTTCTTCAAAACKACCGAGAATCCCTTCTTGTCGGCAGCCGGTACAACACCAACGGTTTTTTTGTGTACCAAACCGCTGTAGCGGAAAGAGCTCACATTGGTCAAATTGTTGGCCTCCTAATAAGGGAAAAATTAAATTTTAGTGAAACTTCAGACATATAGTGGCTTTGATTAACAAAAAAAATATCAGTTTGGTTATGTTCCTATCATATCGTATTCAAATATCATTGTGAATTAAAATAACATCACTATACTTTATATAGCTAAGCTAAATTATATGCTCAATTAGCTACTTACAGTGCTGAAAGGTTTCTTCACATCACGCTTCTTCAAGAGGAAGGAGTTGTTGTTGCGGATGATCAACCAGTTAAGATGAGGCGATGTGGTGGCCATCTCGAGTCTGAAACCACAAATGTTAAATAAATTACTTGTGGAACTACTAAATGCCGATGTAAATAGGAAATTATTAGTTTTCTATCAGTCTTGGGTGATGAATTATAGTCTTCAAGAACTCTTCTGTTAATTCGATCATCATTGAAATTATTTATAACACCAGTTGACACGGGAACCCAACCCACATTTCGCGTAAAAACACGTGCGATTATTTATTGTAAAAGCCAATTACCAATGATTAGGAAGTTGCTGTCCATATTGCACCACACACAGGAATATAAAGTATAGGTTATTACACTTTTTTRCTACATCTTCCACGTGCCAACTGATGTACTCGCCGAAACTTTATAAATGCTCACCTTTTTCTGTTGACAACGATGACGAAAAGAACCAGGAAACGCCATTTCTGTAATGAAGTCAGTTGCCGTTGGTAGATTGTCAAATACGCATTTAGGAAGTGTTAGGAAAGCGCTGAATAGACACACCCTGCATGACAGGGTGACACGTGAAAAAAGCAATTATTATATCAAAGTAAACAAAAAGTTTTATATTGGAATATGATTGAATAGTTCTTAACAATGTGAATATTGCATGTTCAGGAAAGTATAATTATACCATTTGTTTCCGTTCATACCCATTTTTTCTTAGCTTTATTTATGTGATCATGCGTATCACCTTTCACTCGGTTGTCTCTCTCGAATTTTATTACAAATTCAATTTGGTGATTTGGTGATTTTTGGTGGTCGAATATTCTTTAAATTATATATTATTATTTAGTTGATAACAATTTTTGTCTTTCACGAATTCTTTAATAAATAGTGTGTAATTTTTTATAAATTCCTGAAAAAAAGCTATCGATAACAATATCGATATTCTATCATCTCAATACTTTCGCGGGAATCCAGTGAATAATTACATTTGATTTACAAATTAAATTATTTGAATTTAAATATACGGAAACGTTTAAATAAGATGTCTAATTGTAAAATTAAAGAAATTACTGGCGACTTGTTTAGCGCGAATGAGAAATATTCAATGGCGCATTGTGTTGCAGCCGATATGAGACTTGGCAAAGGAATTGCCGTAAAATTTAGGTGAGTAGCAGTTATTTTATTAAYATATGACTGAATGAAAACTCTCTAATAATATTGCAAACGTTTTAGAAATAAATTTGGTCAAATACCCAGGCTAAAGCAGCAAAATGTCAAGCCAGGCGGCGTAGCAATTTTGCAGGACAAGTCGCGCTTCATTTATTATTTGGTGACCAAACAGAGTAGTTGGGGTAAACCTACCTATCAAACACTGCACGATTCACTGCAGGCAATGAAAACACACATGGTAAGTAATAAATAAAAAAAATATATATTTTGTTGGACTAGCTATTTTTTAACACACATACTTAATTTTTGTTGAATTTAATGAATTGAATTTAAATACACAAATCCTTTTTGCTATTATAACAGCATATTTGTATTAATTCATCGTCTATTGTTTATAAATATCTCGACAGCTCAAAAATGAGGTTTATAAATTGGCCATACCGCGCATTGGCTGTGGTCTCGATGGTTTGGTTTGGCAAAAAGTTAAGGATTTGTTGCAAGAAGTCTTCAAGGATACGCCAATTGAAATACTTGTTTATAATTATGTGCCATAAAGTGTTAAGCGTGTTGTAGTGCTTTTCAAATGTGCAAATATTAATATAACTTATTTATTATAATAAAACAATAAGATTTTTAGATGTTATTTGTTGAGGATTTACTTTTTGTGTTTAAAGTTTTACTCTTAACTGTATTTATTTACAAATATTACAACTTACCTTTTTCTATCGAAATAAAAAGGCTTCCATCATATATATTTTTTATTTTATTTAACAATTATCAAGTCTCATCTAGTAAAAATACCTGTAATGCTCAGCATTAAGTGATATTTTTATTTATTTTAACAAAATAACAAATTTTGCTTCATAACATTATTTCGGCACAAAGTTGTACACAACAATTTCCAGTTCTTCACTGTCGAACACCTTACACAATTCAGCGCTCACTTTGTCCCATTCGAGGCCATCGATGCCGCAGCCAATGCGCGGTATAGCCAACTTGTGCACCTTATTCTTGCGCTGTTGAACAAAAAAAAAAAGATATTTAGAAAATTATTGTAATCCGCAAAAACAAAAAATAGAATTAACCCTTTCAACTGCTTACCATATGCTCACGCATGGCCACAAGCGATGCGCGTAAGCTATCATAGGTGGGACTGCCCCAACTTTGTGGCTTGGTTACCAGATAGTAAATGTAACGTTCTTTATCTTGCAACACTGCAACGCCGCCGGATTGTACACCCTGTGCRCGTAACTGGTCCACTTGTCCGTAGATTTGTTTGAACTTCACCGCAATGCCGGCGCCCATGGCAAAGTCCGCRCCTACGCAATGCGCCAGCGAGTGTGTTTCGGGTGCGCTGAAAAGRTCACCCTCAACCTCAGTCAATTTGAATTTCGAATCTGCAGACATGTTTTGGCGTAGTTGTTGTGCGGTAGTGCTGTGAAATGGTGCTCGGCTGAAAGTTGTGCTTTGCGCTGGAATTTGTCAAAATGAGCCAATGAGTTGTGTAAAAGATTTGCAGATTTTTTGTTAAACACAATTTTATTACAAGAGAAAAGGAAAATACTATTTCTTGGAATGCTTTTAGTTATTAAAGAATTTTATTTATTTATTTATTACTTTGAACAACAGTGTAGTTAGCAAAAATGTTAAATTACACTTTTTGTTAAAAATTAGATTTCGTGTGTACATGCACACACACGTGTGTGTGTTTGACATCGTTTGTTTACATTTGGAATTGTGTAAATTTTATTTTCTCTTGTCATAATTTGAGTTATCTACGATTCCTCATTTTTAATACACATGTACATATGTATATGTATATATAAGAACATACTTAAAAACTAAAAAAAACATCGCTTTGCGAAAATATTTTGGATTTTTTAGAGATTTTTATACAGTTTAAATGTTGTAAAAATAATATAATTGAAATAACATATTAAAGAATTTAAAATAATGTTTAAAAAAATGTTTTAAAAATATTAGTCTTGAATTAAAAAATTCAAAAAAATAATAAATGTGGAATTAAAGCACATACTGCCTCAGAATAGTTTAGAAAATTCGAAAAAAGTAATAAATTGTGGAATAAAAATATTTTTTGTGCAAATTTTTGTTGTTTAATCAGACTCTGAATGATTAATGYCAAATAAATAACATTCGTTTTCTTTTAACTTTTTTTTCGACACAAATACACGTTACTCTGCTCCAATACTTTTCCTTCAACAACAAAAAAAAACTTGCAATGTTTGTCCTTCTGGAACACCGCTTTCAGTGTAAATAATAAACTTAAAATTAAGATTATAAATATGTGGTGTATGAGTAAAATATTAATAAATTAACTGTGTGCTTATGTGTGGGTGTAAAAATAAAACACATTTCATATTTTAACTTAAAATCTTCGCCTGCTTCAACTCCCACTTCATTCAAGGAAAGTCTCGTGAAAGCGACATGCGATTAACCATGGACTCCAAAGTGCGCGAACGTGAGCGTGAATCACGTGAGCGTCTGCGTACTACCTCTGGTGGATCATAGACGTATGCAATGATTTCCACGGCATTATTGCAAAACACGAATTCCACAATGTTCTTAACACGCAACCAACTCAAGCGATCGATGTCACCACCGAATCTGTGTATGGCCAGCTTGGTCACATTGTTTTGCTCCTAGTTAGCAAAAGAAGAAATGCAAATTAGTAATATCACAAAAAAGTAATTTSAATTTTCAAAGTTGTGCTGAAAYTTTACCACATGCTCGCGCATTGCCATCAGCGCATAGTAAAGCGCCGGATATGTGCACTTCTCATGACTACGTTCCTTGGTTATTAAATTGTAGATATAACGGTTGTTGTCCTTCAACACCGCCACATTGCCAACATGTTTATTTTGTTTTTGCAACTCATTGATCTGTCCAAATTTGCATTTGAAGTGCAAGCCTATGCCGCTGGACATGGCAAAGTCGGCGCTAGTCGAGTGCACCAGCGAGAAGTCCTGMGGCGCGTTTAAGATGTTGCCCTTCTCTTCGACAATTTGGCATTTTGGCGGTATTGTCTTGTTTGTATATATGTATATATGTATATATTGTATATGTAAATAAATAATTATTGAATATCAAATTTCAGTGTGAGCGGGAGTCAAGTGTCAACTTACCACCGTTTGATTGTGGCTGCAAACCAGTATTTCCACGTTGATCTCTCTGGCGAATACGGTGCGTATTAATTGCTTGACACGTCGCCACTCCAAGCCGTCCGTGCCACAGCAAATGCGCGGCATGGCGATTTTTGTGATCTCGTGTATGCGCTTTGGAAAAAAATCGGGAGGGTCAAGTTCAAAAGCTTAGAAACTTTTTTTAAATGAAATTTGATATGTATGCGTCATTTCCTGAATGTCTCATTGTACTTGGAATGTGTTAGTATAGTGTTTAATCCACTTAGCGGTAAGCCGCAGCACGTTCTGTTGGAGTTGGTGGCATTATTTACACTCTTACTTTCATTTACGCATGCCGGTAATGATCGCATATGTCTATATATATGTATGTATGTAATTGATATGCAAACTTTTTATTAACTCGTGATCGGTTTAGGCATATTTATATACCATTTTCCATATTGAAAGGATTAAATCACTTACTACCGAACTCTTYTGAGTCTAAAGAACCCATTATCCAATAATCTTGTTAGAAAAGCAAGAAAAAAGTAACTTCGGCAGTACCGTTGCGACAACGCACTTCAAAGGTGCATTTCGCATAGCATAAAAGTATAAAAGGACTGTATCTTGATTTGGCTTGGCCTGTTTGTATGATAGCTATAAGCTTCAGTGGCCCGCTCTGAACAATTTCTTTGGATTTTGTAGCGCCGCCTCCATGGAAAATAATCTATGCCAAAATTTGCATACAAGGACTTGATTTTGATCGATCAGTTTGTATGACAGCTATATCGCATAGTAAGCGAATATCGGGGAYTCTGATAAATGAGCAGAGAAAATGACATATACAAAATCTAAGATCGATATCTCAATATCAATATACAAGAACCTCTAACTCGTCAACAACCTACAACTATTTGGAGAATCTTTTTTGTCCTTTATATTGGGTAGTCGAAAAAGTCTTTTCGTATTTCTAACCAAACTTCAACTTAAATATATTATATTTATAATGAACTTTCATGAACCAAATATGTATCATTTTAGTCGACCATTTTTTGCCATTTTTCTGCTTTCTCGACAATAAACTGCGAGAAGTAATTTTCACAGGCTTCTTTTGAGGCCAACTTCACTCCATTAAGGGAGTTTTGCATTTACCGAAACAAATAGTAGACCGATGGTGCAAGGTCAGGGCTGTATGGTGGGTGCATCAAAACTTCCCAGCCAAGCTCTCCAATTTTTGCCGAGTCATTAAAGATATGTGTGGTCTAGCGTTGTCCTGATGGAAGATGCAGTTCTTTCTGTTGATCAGTTTTTACCGTTTTTTTTTTCTCGATTGCTTCCTTCAAACTCATCAGTTATTTCCAGTGAAATGTAGAATCAATCGTTCCAGCCTGGAGCAGCTCATAGTGAATGATTACTTTCCAATCCCACCAMACATTCAGCATAACCATTCAAGGCGTCAATCCTGCCTTTGCGGCCATTTGTTGAGCTTCACCACGCTTGAACGATGATCTTTTTCGCACATTATTGTCGTATTTGACCCACTTTAAGTCTCCTGTTACCATTCGATTGAGAAATGGTACGATTTCATTTCATTTCAGGAAAGAGTCGCAGTTGTTAATTTAGCCCATTAAATTTTTTACAGTCAATTCATGTGGTACCCAAACATCGAGCTTTTTTTTTTTGTAGCCAGCCTTTTTTGAATGGTACAAAACCGTTTGATGATAAATATTAAGTTCCTTAGCGATGTCATGGCTGCTTATGTGACGGTCCTGGACAATATTTTCCATAATTTCATCGACTTTTTCGTAGATAGGTCGTCCAGAGCGAGGTTTCACCTTTCTGCTCTGCACTCTAGCACTACAGATATACATACGATATATTGTCAAAAATACGAACTTTTTTTCGACTAACCAATAATTTCTTGGCTTCTCTATGAATGTATGCTGTTTTAAATATTCTTTATCCTTTCCCTCTTGCAATCACAACAACAATAATATAGTGACTACAACGTCAAATACTTAAGAGAACTCTTTTGAATTATTATAGTTCTCAAAATACACTTCTTCTGAAACTTTGTAACAGCTCTTGTGCCTTATTTATATTTCAAAGTGACATCATCACAATGAAGTACCGTAATCTGCGGTTTTTAATAGGAAGTGTAAATATATAAATAAAAAAAGGGTCACATTTGCTGATAAATTCTTCCAAATGCATAACAAAAAATCTTACTTCGCCTGTATTCTACCACTTGTTAATATTAGATTAGCTCATTTAATTGCAAATCGCGTTGCTTAAAACCGCTAACCGCTTAAATTTTTGTTTTTTTTTATTAGTATGGTATGTCAAAATGGGAATAGTGTTATAGAAATCACAAATTACCATATGTTCGCGCATACAAATCAACGCCGCATGCAATGTGTTGTATGTTGTGGTCTCGTAGACATTTTCCTTCGTCACCAGAAAGTATATGAAACGCGACTGGTGCTCCATAACAGCGACATTGCCCACGGTTATCGGCTGCTTGCTGAGCTCCTCGAAGTTGCCGAAAATCACAGCAAATTGCCAAGCGAGCGTGCCCTTCATCGTGTTCAGATCGGCGGAGACGGCATGCGCCAGCGCATATGACTCGGGTGCGTAKAGCAGATTCGTTTTCATTTCGGTTAATTTGAATTGATGCATTTTTGCGCTTATTYCTTATTGACTCTGTATTCGATATCACAATTGGTATTTCGTCGTAATTTTTTGGCGACTGTCGATGATTATTGAATGGCAATTATTATCAGTTTTTTTATGCGACGACACAATAAAATTGTGCAAAAAACAACATAAATGTATGAATGAAGTAGCAATCAGTTGCCGCCGGCATAAATCATATCGTTAAATGTGGAAGAAAAAGCAAACAAAATTATCGTAGTTAAATGAATCAGTGAAAGAATACGCTTAAATACATTGGAAAGTTCATGAGAAAAGAAAAATATATAAATTTGTTTTGCCTAGGCAGTGACCCAAAAGGCAATAATTGATAGTGGAATGCGAAAACTATAAAAAATACGCGAGCAACCAAACAATTTTTTTTTTTTTTTTTTTTGAATATTAAGTTGTTAGTCATAAAACTTTTGACCCTGAATTCCTCGAAGGGTTGTATTAAATCTTAACCAAAACTAATTATAATTTACTTGAAAACATATAATCGTTTGAAAGATCGTTGACCGGAAAGTTTTCGGCGGAAACGCTCAGCGGGCCGTCATACATCTTCCTGAACCTAATTTTTTCTAAAAACATAAGATGTTCGAAGTATCACTCATTGGCGGATAATAGTCTAAATTTAGAATTTTCTTTCACTTTTTGACGCGCCCTTTATATAATATCATTTCCGAGTAATAAATATAACAATTTTCTTGAAAAAACGCTTTGTTTTAGGTTATAAATGAAAGAAAAATTCTACTACGAAAAATTGCTTTCATATAATATATCAGCATTCCTATCGCTAATTTTTTAAATGAAAGGTCTTCGGAAAACTTCGGTAACCGAAATCTGATCTGAATTGATGAAGCTTTTATCTATCACTTACACAGAATAAACCCTTCMAACGACCATTGAGTTTATGTAACGGACTCAGAGACTCCCTCGTAGAATTGCCTTTATGACAGAAATTTCGAAAAATAATTGTGTATCGAACCAATTTATTTTACCAAATATCCAACAAGCTAAAAATGTCTTAAAGAGAAATTTAAATCTTTCCAAGCAAATGGATATTGAATCTTTCCAAGATGAACTAACTGTGACCACAAAAATGTTGCTGATCCTTAAAGGAARGCTCTTTAATTCGGTGCACAGTGGTACCTGACGAAACTATTCGTTTTAACATAGAATTATTTTTAGTGTCTTTGTCGAAACTGATTTTTGATTTCAAGTTGCTCCGAAAGTACTAAATTTTATCTGAAAAATGTTTAAAAATGTCAAAATGCCATTTTATTAACGAAAATKAGTACCTCTTTCTTTGATATATTAATTAATCCGCAAAGAAGACCCCTACTAATGAAATAATAGTTCAAAAATTTTAAAATGTTCTTGTCTGTGGGTTCGTTCATTGAGGAAGTGCTTGAAAATCATCGTGTTGATATCAGAGAGATAGCAGAGGATCGAATCAACACATTTTGGTTAAGGTATTTGGTATAAAGCTTATGAATGCTAGACTTGAACCAAGACTTGACTTGGTTGAACAGACTTGAGTAGTGGTCGCAAAAGAGATGCTTGACAACGTGCGGACCCTACATTCATTACTGGAGACGAGATGTGGGATTATGAATATAATGGTAAAACTGTCCAACAATCTAGCTAATGGCGCTCTAAAAATTATACAAAACCGAAAGAACCGCATCAAACTCGGACACAAATCAAAGTAATGCTGATAGTTGTCTTTGATTGCCGCAGTGTGGTCCACTAATTTGTTCCACAGGCTSGAAATATCAATAAGGACAAGTATTTGTGAAGTATCGACCCGATTTTTGGACGAAGTATTCATGGATTTATCGCATTATACAGGGCTATGGCTGACTTTTTGGCCAAACACGAAACGAGAGTCACAGAGGCTTAAAATTGGCGTGCTTTTATTGACCTACTTTACACTTTTTTTTATCAGTCCGGGTCAAATCTGATCATATGGTAAAACAACTATGTACCTTCTGTGCATGTGAAAGCCTTTCGTATTTTATATATTTTTTTGTCAAATAAAAATAATAGCAACTACCAGCCATATTCTTTCTAGTCACTACCTAAGTATGTACATAGTTTTTATATTTTTTCGCTAATAATAAATCAGACGGTTGTAATTTTTTACTTACGTGTCCAGTGAACGCCACAAAGGTTTTGGAACTATTTTTAGTTTGTTATTATTATTACAATTTTTTTTTTTTCAAATGTAATTATTTGTTGTTTTGCAATCGGTCCGCACACGCTGAAAATGTTGTAGCAACTTTTTCATTAAAATAACACCAGTGACACTTTAATTGTTTTATTGTTATTATTAAATATAATATATGGTTGGTTGAACAGTTGATTATTCGGTTGGGTTGGTTAATTGGTGCCTTTCCGGCTGCTACGCTTGCGTTATCTGTTATGCTCAGTGCTGTTGCTGTTGCTACAACCGTGCTAGTTGATTTAGTACTGACAACACCGAAATACCAATGGAAATGACAACTAAAAATACCAGCAACAAACACTCATACTTACATATACCTGTCTCTTATACACATTGGAAATGACAACTAAAAATACCAGCAACAAACACTCATACTTACATATACACATGTACATACCACAGTATACTTTTACCAACGAGAAACGACCATCGCACCGAATGCATGACTAGAATACACAGTCGAGACAATCATCAGCGCATATACATACATATGTATGCTTGTATGTATGTATGTATGTATGTACTTGTATATAATATATCAGTGGCTCATTGAGTTGAATGACGAAGCCGGCCGGCTGGTCGCCAGACTTGGGCGCCATCATTGGTGCCGCTAGAGGTGCGGAAGTAAGAGGAAGTGCATACATATATATATACACAAACATATACAAATTTACAGCTGGTTGCGAGTGCGTACTGTGTTTTTGTATTTTTTGGAGGCCTCTTCAATTCCACAATCTCTATAATTGAGCTTGAAGCTTTCCATTTGTGTTGATCTGCTTTGCTTGAAAATGCTTGAAAATATATGTATGTATGCAGTCAATGTCAGCAAAGAAAAACATTTGTGAGAAAGAATTGCAGAATCTACAAAGTATACACAACACACTTATAGACATACATGTATATGTAAATAATAACTACTTTTGTGAATGAAGGTAATTACTTCTCAAGCATATTAATCACTTTAAATTGTTTAGTCGCTCAACAGTTAACGGTTATATAGATTTGTGTTGCATGAATGTGTGTTTATGGATTCTAAAAGATAATTGATTGTGAAAAGCTACAAATTTTGTTTTCTAARCTTAACCAAGGGAGCTATCATGTGGTGAGAAAGGTAATTAATACCACATATGAGTTTTGTTAAATGTATTTTTTCGTCTGTTTCAGAAGTTAGTAAATTACTTTTAGATCACTTTAAAATAATATTTTTTTGTATGTGTATACAAATATTTGGCAGACTTTCTTTTTGTACGAATCGATGTCATTTTTAGTGTAATTGGAAATTATTAGTAATTTTCAAAACGTCTAAAATTTTTAAAAGAAGATTTTCTCGCCTCAAGAAGTTGGTATTATGACAGTTATCGTTAAGATAAATCTATGTCATGCCCCTCGAAGAAATCCCGATTGGCTCCAATACAATTATGCCAAGGTTTTACCAATCCTCGAAACAGATTTTAAAGTCAATTCCCGGATTAGYTGTCAAAGAGCGTAGCCATTCCGTTTAATGTCTTCAAGTGACTCAAAACGATTTCCACGGAGCGGTCGTTTTATTTTGCTGAATAGCCAAAGAATACAAGAAGCTAAATCAGATGAATACGGTGGTTGCGGCACGTTAATGGTAAAAATTTCAAGAAGAACTCACGAAGAATCAATGTGGCATGCGACGGAATTCAAAGTGCTCGATAAACGAAGAAAACATAACCTTGATTGTTGACCTACTCTGACGTGGTTTTTTCGACTTCGGCTCACCTTTGTCCCGATATTCCGCCGATTGATCGTCTGTTTTTGTGTACCCTAAGCACAGATCTAAGACTCATCGCCTATAATAACGCATTCTATGATATCCTGGTGGTCGTAAAGCACTGTTTCACAGACGTTAGCACGACGTTAACTGTTTTCGAAAAAATTCAGTGTATTTGGAACCAATCGTGCTTTCACTTTTTTTGGGCACAAATTATCTTTCAAAATGGCTTTCGCTGATCCTTTCGACATTCCAACGATGCAAGAAAGTCTCTGATTGTTCAATCAAAAATGCTTGCTCACGGCACCAAAGGCCTTTTCCAACATTCTGAACGTTTTAGCATCAAAAATTCGATTCCAATTTCAGTGACGGTCATACTAACTTCGAAAAAACAAAAATTTTCGCACAAAGTTTAAATTAAAACGTCTTACTACTTTTTGCCCGCAGTAAATTAGAACACTTATTTGTGGAAAAGTATACAATATATACTCGTATTAATCATAGTATTGCCTATCTGATGCTATACAATGTTTCCATCTTTCTAGTAATTTGTATATTACATCCAAAAAAAGAAAAACACGCCAGCTTGGTGGGAAAGAATGAATCAATCTCAATGCTGCTTACCAGTTCTGATATGAATCCAAGGGCGATCCGTAAAGAATGGTAGTCAGAAGGCACAATGTCTGTGTTATTACCCTGTTTTTTAAACAGTTTTTAACCGATTTCGCAACATGAAGCCGGCCATTGTCATGAGGAAAAATGATTGSCTCAAGTTTAGACGCAAACTTCGGGCGCTTTTCCACAACCGCTCGCCTCTATTTGTTGAGCTTTTGTCGGTTGAGTTCACCTATAGTAACTTCGCCCTTCTGATCTCAAATTGACTAGGCATCGTGGATATTTGGCTTTATTTTGGCTAGTGATATGATTTTCTGCGTTTATCCATGCAAAAAKGACTTATTTTTGTCTATTTGTAGCGTTCAAGCAGTATTTCTGACAAGCAAAATCGGCATCAGTTTATATGGCACACAATTCCCTTGCTTTTGAAAATATAAATATGCATGAAAAAGAAACCAAAGTGGGAAGTTCTTCAGCTCTTTCTAAGTAAATATTAATGTAACTAAAAAAATCTAAATTCTTTAAAATAAGTGATTTCCAAATATATATATTTTGTGGGTTTATTTAACTATTTTTAATATTATTTATAATTTAGTGACAAATAAATTTAAATAATCCATAGCAGTTTTYGAATTTAACTGCTTTTCTGAAAGAGAAAGGATCTAGTTTGTCGCTTAAGTCTTTTGTTTTGACGGGTGCGTGCCATTTTCCTTAGCGCCGCGATGTAGGCAACTTTTAATTAAGCGCCTTTTTGGCGCTACCACAACAATATTTTGAATAATTTTCTCTGCTTAAATGTAAGCACAGCGTTCGAAACTAAACCACCAACAATTTTAAGTTATTTATAACTCGCTTTGTTACCARGATTTTTTTTCATGACTCAAATGATTTGCTACCGCTGGACAACTAGTATTTATGCTGATTTACCAGACATCTATTATTGTTCAAATAAAGTTGACCAAGCTGGAAGATATAGAGGCAATGTTAAACCCTATATGTTGCTTTAAAAGCAGTTAAGGTGCTACATGTCTAAAATGCTGTTCGAAGACGCAATCCATATATGTGCATACGTAGATAATTTTTGAAGTATTAACATCAAAATATTGTGTATTTCAATCATCTTTCTATATTCATCTATGTTTTATTTGATAACTTTCTCAAAAGACACCATTTGATACTCCCTACTATTCCAATGAAGCATACTTACATTAATTACCTAGGCCTGGATCTACATTTCTTTACATACACACACGCAACATTTTGTAACAACAAAAGTAGATAAGATTAAACAATGAGTATATAACCATCTGCACACCCTATTAATCATCATTGTAATGTATTTAACTGTCTTTTT